CAGTTGTCGTGCTTCCCTTGTTGTTTTTGTTAATTTCATTTCAATTTATTAGCATTTTATTTGCTGTTGTTGTTGCGTTTTCATTGCCGCAAGTTTCGTTTTATATTGTTGTTGCATATATGTTTTTTTTCATCATCGCTGTAATTGTTTTATTGTTGTTGGCACTTTTTCATTGCTTTTTGATGTCAATTTGTCATACAATGATTTAATTGCTCGAAATTATGAGTTTGTGAAATACGTACAAGAGGAAGAGAAAAATCAGGAAAGATAAGAGAAGTAAATGAAGATATAGAGTCAAAAGATTGGGGCAAAGTAAAAATAATTAAGGAAAGTTGGGCGGAAGAAAATTAAGAGTTAAGCGGCAGAAAACTTGTTTGACAAAAAAAATAATTTGTATGTGCATGGATAAATGGAAAGATTTAAAAATTATTAAGGGATTTAAATAAAAGTTGCAATGAGGAAATAAGAAACAACTTGCATAATTAAATAGTTACATTTTCTAAATGCTTTTAAAAACCAAACAGTAATGTTATTTTAACGATACATATAGTGATTTAATATTAAAAATAGTCATTCAGATTTATATCTAAGTGTGGATATAAATAATATTATGTCTAATAAATCACATGCACATAATAAACAAAAAAAAATTTTTGAGTCATCAATGTCAAGATTGTCGGCACAAATATTTAGTAATTCAATTAAATTAACAACAAATATCAAATAAAGAATTCTTTAAGAATTCTTCAACAAATATGTGAAAAAATATATTTAAAAACATTTTATATATTACATTAAACTATCAGCTCTTTAGAGCTGTTTTTTCAACAATGTTTAAAAACCCTGTTGACTATTATTTTTGCTGAATTATTTTTCAACAACTTCACAGATCTGAAAAGCCCTGTTGACTTTAATAACCATGAAACACACAAACAATTGTCTATAATTTACCATAAAATAGTCCATATTTATTCAAATTAAACGAAATAATTTAACCTTAATTTCACACCTAGTACAGTTCCAATTTTCTCATTCCCATTCGATTCAATTTATAAGGTAACAAACGCCATTATATAAAATTAGAACACGCTAAACGAGTGACACAAATTCCATATTCATTGCATTGCTCAGTCGCATGTGCTCTGATTATTGTCATTAGTGTTACTTCAGTTCCGTTCTGCTTTCTACTTAACAAACTAATCAGTAAAATTATGAAATTGCATGGGAAAATCAAAGAGCGGTGAATAAAAATGATACGATAACGGTGACAAAAGAATAGATTTTCGGGTTCGGAAATGAACAAAACTATTGACAAGAATCTCACTCTTTTAATTAGTTGTTGTACTTATTAATGCAAAAAAAAGTTATAGGAAACACGTTTTTAATGACCCACATACGTTTTTAACCTTTATTTTTAATACACAAACAACCTTTTTTTATTTTACAGTAAACTATTTGTTTTTTCTCCTTTTACACAGAAAGTTGAGCCTAGATATCTAACAGGCCTGATTAATACCAAATAACTAATTTATACAAAATGATACTGTTTTATTTTATTTTGTGCTTTCATTTTATTGAATAAGAAATACAAAAATTTAACGACTTAATAAAGTATTCATATCCAATCAGGATAAACCACATAAATTATTATACTAAACAAGCATTTTTAATTTCAATTTAAAAACTCCATTGAAGGGTTCGTTTACCTTAAATTTCTGTTTGTTTTCATATTTCATTCATTCAACTTTGTAAACCGACTTCTGCAACTTCAAAATTCATTTCACACTTCAACAGGTGTCAAATTGTACAGAACACAATGAGAACAACAAGTTTGACAAGCAATTTGAGACTCCAACTGAAAGTAGCCAAGTTGTAAACGAAATTGGGACCCCAAAAACTGAATTTAAAATACTTCGCCGTTGAGTCACACAATTGTTTGTGAAAATGGTATTGCATACATTGCAAATGTTAAATTTCCTAACTGAAATCTGAATATGACAGCGAAATGCGGGGAAGTTAAAGTGATTTTTTGTATTTATTTTCCAATTTTGTCTAGTCAGCAAATGAGTTGGTAAATTGTTAGATATGTGTGTATGTATACGCTTACTAAAAATAAACCAAGTAAACAAAAGCTGGCAAAAAGGGCAGACAAAGTAAATTTATAGTTGCTTTAAAAAAAAGTACACAACAAAGCGAAGGGAAACTGTGTGGAAAAACAATTTTGAGGGGGAGGTGTAGCCATGTGATAGGTGAAATGAAGCAGCAAATAGAAGGGGTTTCAACTTGAATTTATGACCACTACTAAAGCCCCCCACAAAGTTTTTAGACCAAAGTTCAAATTGATGGGAGTTTAAAGGCGAATAAAGTTCTTATCTCAGTAAATTTCGTTAAGCCAAAGAAGCTACCTATAAAACATTCCGAGTCTTGGTGAAATTTTATTGACAAAAGCTGCGTGACTGAAGCTGATTAATATTCAAAACACGTTTTAAACTTGCTTCTCTTTATTATTCACACAAAATTCATTCACTTTGGTACTATTTATAGAAAAACATTTTTCTTCGAAATGTATTGAGAAATAATTATAAGATAATACGGAAAGGAACGTTGAATTTGATTCCTTTATAAGTTTTTAATTTCATGCAACAATGAAATTAGTTGATAACCTAATCAGAGAGATTATGTCAAGATAGTTCCCCTTTTAAAAATAAGTAAATTAAACTCATTTAATTGTGTATTGACCAATTGATTTCAAGGTTACAAGATTATTAACTTCATTATAATTCTAATATTATACTTTTAACATGTTCATTTTACCTTATTTTTAATCTAAAAAAAATATACACTTTTTAGTAAAGGTCATATTTACCATCCAAAACCTTTACCCCATACTTACATACATACACTAAAACCCTAAGATAATTATTACTTTATTGCTATAACGATGAGTTAAAAATTGTCACCGAAATATTTGCTGAGTCATTCATTATACTAATTTAAAAGAATAATATAAAACCAATTAAAGATAAAATATTGTTCTTTTCTTTATTTTAATCTAAATCAAAATAGACCTACATTTAAATAATAATTTAACTTAAATAAATCCGCTAGCACTATTTACAGTTTTCCCGCTTTACAGAAAAAACTAAGTGCCAAAACATTTCGCGTGAGTGCCATACGCTCACAACTATTCTCATCCTATCCGCTTAACTTTCACACCAGATACAAAAAAGTCCAACAGATATTTCTTCAAAGTTAACGTTATTCATCAGAGGCAACTTACTCACACACACACATATATACATACACACCATAATCTTGGCTTGTTCTGTTTTCGGTTTTCTCTGTTTGTTTCGAAACAAACCGGTTAAACGCTTTTAGCTTTTAGCGAAAAGCAGCAAAACCGAGGGAAAAAAGAACAGCACATAAAACAGAAACCGTTTAAGCGTACAATAGGCGTAGATAGGTAAAGTACGGGGGGATGGAGGGGAGTGCGGATAAGGGGGCGGTCAGATTGACTACAACTAATTATCAACCTCAACGAATCGCGCACAGCTGTACAGAGCAAACAGTTCAAATCGCTCACTTCTCGGTTTTCTATTTCCATTTGTAACCATTTATCAAAAAATCTAATAATGGGCGGTCAAACATTTTTATTGTTTTTGTTTTGTTATCACTTTTGGTAAACGATTTTGGCTGATTTCGTTTAACAGATTAGCCCAAAAATGAGGAAACACAAAAACATAACTTCGTAATATGATAAATGAAACTGTGCACCATTTACACACAAACAAAAATATTGTTAAGGTGTTTTTAAGTCACCAAGTAAACATTGAAAAAATTATTATTCAATTGAATTATTTATTAGAACAATTTTCAATTATACATATTATATAACACGTTTTAGAGATTTACAAGGATACGAAATTAGATAAGATAAGATACTCTAAAGTTAAGAGACTTTAAGAAACCAAATATGTGAACTACAAGGTCTATTTAAGGGCAAATTTACAGTTGTTAATTACAAAGTAATTCAATAAAAGACAGTTTAACCTAGAGAAATTCGACTGCGAAATTAGTTTGTCTAGTTTACCTCTATGTACTCTATTTGCTTTGGATAATTGATGAATCAGTTGGACTATTTCCAAGAGAAGTATAAATAAAACACATATATACATAAAGCACATATATACATGAAACAAATATATGCTATAGTATCGGTTTACAAGTTGATAACAAACTTGAACAGAGAAACGTGACTTGGAGCGGTCAGTATATCCACGGAACTTGGGCTATTCCAACAATTTGATCAAGCTATGCAAACATAGGCATTGGAAATGCACGATGCATGTGAGTTGCTAAAAATAAATTTAGGTAGAATGTTAAGGTCATCCAGCATCCCAATGATAAAAAGTATATACATTTATTGTATATACATGACTAGCAAGTTACACATGTAAACCATTTAACTTTTTTTAATGAATCAAATGTTAATTTGAATAAACATTAAACCATTTCGAGAGATCAGGTGTAACTACTACTTGCAACATTGAAATTTGAAATTAATTTTGTAAATCTTTTAAGAATGTAGTTATTTTATTATTAGTTCTATCTTTTAATGAATGAAAATGAAAAGATGGTTAATAATCCCACATAATCGTTTTCGTTGAGCAAAAGCATTTAACCGTTAATTAGATGGCGATTTTTAAAACCGCCGAAATTCTTCGATAAGCGTGAGAAGCTTTAAAGAAGAGCTTTGTGCAAGCAGAAAGAAAGGAAAGAAGAAATGAAGCAGCTGTTATCATGAAAGTTACTGTAAATATGCCACCTGTGGACGTTTCGCATGCTCCCAAAAAAAGTGAAATATCATGCTAACTCTCTCTGTCTTTTATTAACTCTTTTATTTTTTTTGGCTGTGCCAGCACGAACAATGAGACATAGCAACAGCTTAATTAAAGCACGCACTTTTAAGAAAAAACATTGAAAAATGGTTTTTTACTCACCTTGAGATGTTTTAATATTTCGTTCCTTTTTTCCTCTTTGTTGTGGCCCTTAATCCCGTTTACTGTTATATATTTATTGTAAACTGGCTGTTGTTTTAATTCCTTGCAGCATTGATTTTCACTTCACTTCACACACACTCACACATGCAGATATAGAAATGGGGAGACGTACAAAATTTCTCGTGCAGCAACTTTTTCTCTTTTTTCCTCGCTTTGCTTTCTTTCTTTTTCTTAATCTTTTTTTATTTTGTGTAAACCAGTATTTTGTGCCTTCTTTCACTTGTATGCTTTTTGATGTTGTTTTATTCAAGAAATTGTTGAATAACGGTTTCTGTTAGCCGCTACGCTTATATGTTTGTTGTTGTTGTCTTGAATTTCACTTTGCTTTCGCGTTTCACGCATTGCTGCTGCCTCTTCTTCTTCGTCGTGTTGCTCCTTATTTTTTCTTTTTAGCCGTGGGAAACCTGTCCAGCAGCCTTAAAGCCGCTGTTTTTGTTGCTTTTCGTTTTTCGGCTAAACATTTTCATTGCTAAAAAACCACTTGAGACTTTTATTTCATAATTCATTTATTTTTACTCAGTATATTTATAAAGATAAAAGCAAGCAAACAGCGCAGCAAAATTCCAAATAAATAAAATTGTTGTTGTTGCTCAACGTTCATTGCCACACACACGCATACAAACACAAGCAGACAACGAGTCAGACACTCACTCATACATATACTTTTTTTTGGGGCAGCGTTTTTTTGTTGTTTCAAGGCAACTTCATTTCTTGACTCTTTTTTCCTCCCCCGCAGGGAAACAAAGAAAATTTCACTTGTCTCCCACACACACACACTGCCAAGCACACACAGACACTGGCCTTTTTCCCAAAGGAAATATAATTTAAAACATTTATTGACACAATTACAAGGTTTTTTGCTTCTTTCGCTCGTTGCTTTTGTTGTTGTTGCCGCTTGCTTGCTTTTTTCTTGCTGTTGTTGTTGGCCTACTTTGTGTGGTGTTGTTGTATTTTTTTCTCTCTTCTTTTTTTGTTGCTCCAACTTCTCTCCTTCGCTTGAAAAAATTTCACACGCGCCGTTTCTTTTTTGTCTCTTTTTTACGTAAATTAGATTGCCATTTGAAGTTGGCTTTTGGGGGATTGCACTTGGTATTTAGCTATATTATACATATATGTTTTGCACTACATTATATTTATAAACATTATGTGTATAAGTTTGAAATTTTAATTTTATTTTTATAGAAAGAAAATCAGACGAGACGAACGTATGAACAAATGAATGACTTAACGCGATGTGCTGTTCGGCGAGCAGCTGTTTCTGCACTTGTTGGTATTTTGTTTGAAACAAAATGGTCGTCGTTCGAACTTTTTAAAATGGTCACACTAAAAAAAAACCACCCAGTGCGCTTAACAGCACGCAATGTGCTGTATGGCGACCAGCTGTTTCTACGTTTTCTGATATTTTCTATACTTTTTGGTATCTTTTTGTTTCGATTTTTGTCTAACACGACATGTTAACTTATACTTAAAAAATATAATATGTTGCTTATTATAATACTTTATAATGACATTTCAGTGTATATACTATGATGTATTTATATATATATTTTAGCTGTATATTTCCATAAAAAGTATTATTAACAAAAAAAATTAGGAAACGATAATTAAAAGAACTCAAGCTATTTAGAAAACAAATCTTTACCAACAGACGGCTCGTTTAGTAAGCCTCTAACCGTTTACATTATTAAACAACATGGTTGGTTCTAAATAAAATCCTCATTGAAATGATTAGTTCTTACAAAGAACTTGATTGGCGTGATCGTATCTATAAAAATAGTATCATGATTCGCAAAATGTTATAATAAAAAAATCGAGTTCCTAAATTTAAAATAAATTACAAAATATCTGTTATCCAAAGTTTTAAATGTGTTCCATGTTGAATACCCCTTTATGGTATTAAAATGTATAATTTAGGTACTTATTGTATTTGGTATATTTGAGGTATTTCTAAAACCAGTCTGCGGCCTTTTCAATTTATGTCTCGTCGGCGGGAAGATCGCTATTGTTTTGGTTGGCTTGAAAAAATTCGAATTTTCAAGTAAGCGTGTGATTTAAGGCTTAGAAGGGTAAAATAACATACTATTACGAACAGATGCATCCTAATGCAGCCGAACAACATGTGGAAAGGCGTTTATGCGGAATGGGGGACAATAAACTGAGGACCCCTTACCGAAAAATGACGAATGCGTATTTGCTGAAGTTTGCCCAAAAGATTAACTGTGAACTTGTAGAGAATTCACTTCTGTGCTCTCCTTGTTATGCAACTCTTGTGAAAATATATAACATAAAGAATGCAAATGCCATACGGCATAAAAGGAATAGAGAGGAGAGCATTTCGGATGTCAGTAGCAGTCAGAAGACAAATTCCTCTTTAGATAAAAGCCACGAAGTGCCGAGGATCGCGACTCCTAATGCTGTCTCCAATCAGCCGGTGACATCGTGCTCCGATTCTAGCTCCGAACATCCTGTGCTGAATTCATCGATGACCTCGTCAGATGATAGACCCACGACGAGTGCTGCGGCTGCCCAGAAGCGTCAGAATAAGGAAGCAAACACTGGCATGGCACCACAGCCAAAAAGGACACCTCTTACAATTCCAACCCCGAACTCGACAACAGATAGCGATGACTACGATGCGAACTCCAATCTGAGTCTAAACGCAGTGAATGGCACTCGCCTGCCACACATTCAGCCGATACCGAAGAGGCGCAGGTATGTTCCACTAAACAAGGTGGCCATGGACATATATCTGGCTGGAAACACGGGAGGATAACCTGTTTCTTAAAAGAATTTAAGATTATTCTTTGTAAGAAAGCTTAAGCAATTTAAGTTCTATTTCTCAATGGCATCTAAAGGTTTTGATTAGCATTCTGTCAAAGAAAGTTAACGTGAAATCAAATTTTCCTATACCATATTTTTTGCATACCATGTTTATTTACTTATTTCAAAATAAGTTCATAGAACAATTAAATACTGGTCAGCAAGGGCAAAATGCAATGAATGAATGCATTCAAATGAATTACATTTAATTTTGTTAAATTTGTTATATTAGAAACATTAATATATTCGCTAAGACCCACTGAAGGATAATACAACGAAAAATAAATTTGTTATATGTTATATGTTAATAAACTACTTTCCTTATTTCAAAATTTGTTTGTTTATTTCTTAAATGTAGATGCTCAACTATATCCTATAGCTGCAAATATATACTTTACTCTACTGACCTCCTAAACTTTATTCGTCAGCGTAAAATATGTAAAAAAAATTGAATTTTTAATAACAGAGAAGCTGAAGGATTTTATTTGGGAATTAATCTTTGCATTTTGTTGTAGGAAAACAGTTGTACTTTATTTGTATTTTAAAATAACTAAGTCAAAGAAATAAAGGGGACAAAGTGAATAAAGCGGACCCAATATAACAAAATAATGGTTAACAAATTTTTTTTGTTTATCCTGTTTTTATTATCTACTTTTTCTGATTCGACGACTGGCCCAAGTCACTGCATTTCCATGTGTAAACACCTATTTGGAGTTATCGATGGGAAATCCATATAAGTGGGCCTGAATTATTACAATAGTAAGCCAAACTTAAAACCGATTGCTCAGCATAAATCCTGGTAAAATACATATTTTTCTGCTATCAATTTTCATATTATTTTTAATGAAACAGTGTCAAAATTGTTTTTAAAATTCGATAAATTCCGACTTTGCAGAAATATCGATGTTTTTGGGCGCACTCGACAACCCTGCGCTAACCTGTGGTGCGGGGCTATAAAAACAAATGAAACTGCGATGCAGTTGCTATAGTTGACAGAATTCTCGACACAGTCACAGCAAACTCAGAGGCGGCTGAAATTCAACGTTCGTTCAAATCGAACATATACAAATTCTGGTTATCCCATTGAGCAAATATCCAAAATTACAAGTGAAATGGCTGAACGCGATGCTGCATCGAATCAGTTGATTGACTACAAAAATTCTCAAACGGTGAGTGTGTTGGTGTGCGAGAGCGAGAGCTGCGCGTATGTGCGTGTGCCGGCAGGAAAATAAGAGGCAAAAGAGAAAGGAAACATTGTCGAAAATAAAACAAACAAAAACAAGGCGATTAAAGCAACGATTGCTATGAGTCTGTACTTTTCATAAATAATTAAAAAAACAACAAAGGCTTTTTGAAAGAGGCGTGTTATTCCGAAAGCGGTTTCACAGTTCAAAGTTCAAGAGTGGTCAATATCTCCCTCCCTTTCGCACTCTCGCATATATATTTTTACCAATCTTATCAGAATTACGCTGATAAAAACTTATTAGTGTTGCAATTTTTCTTATTGGATTTGTATTTTCTGTACCTAATCCAAAGTTTGGTTTAGGGTATTCTTTTTCTTAAGTTTTTACCTCTATTCAAAGTTTAGTATAGTTTTCCCATAGATAAAGCTATTACTCGTTAATCAAAAGGGACAATTGTATTCGTTCGAAAGTATGTAACAGGTAGAAGGAAGCGTTTCCGACCCTATGAAGTATATATATTCTCCATCAGGATCTATATCCAAGCTAAGTTCGTCTGTCTGTCCGTCCGCAGGAAGATCTATGCGTTTGAAAACTACAAGAGCTAGAGGTTTGCGATTTAGCATGGCCCGCATTTTTTTACTTTAAAAGTTATATGACATAATTAGTGTTAGTTATGACGTCAGTGCAAAATGTTTGCGGGGAGCGGGTATCCTACTTGCACTTAGCTTTTGGTGTTGGCCACCTAAAATTTTTAAATTGGCCAACTGAGTAACGGGTATCTTATAGTCGAGACTCTCATAGCGTTTCTCATTGTTTTTGTCTTATTTCTAACCTTGGCTAACCTTTGGTTTTTGTTTGTTTTTATTTTCCGCCTTTACTTTTCCTTTGCACTTCCATTTTCATTTGGCACTTGCCTCGTGCATTAGATTGAACTTCTGTATTTGAATTTGTTAGTTTGCACTTTCATGTTAATTATTCGCTTTCGCTTTTGGTTCAGCACACTGTGATTAGATACATGACTTGCATTGAAAAATCGTGCCTAATATTTATTTATTTCAAAATGTGTAATATTTTTACACAAACAGAATCAAAAAGTACAAATAATTTTGGGAATGACTTTTTTTTAATTTTTTAGGTACATGACTTGTATATATACACATGAATCAAACAGTAGAAATAAGTAAATTAGTGAATTTATTTGTACTTTTTGATTCTCTTTGTTAAGTTAAACTTGCTCATAGCCAAAACTTTAAAATAGCCTGTTTAAATATGTTGTTTTCTAACTTGGCATCTAATTTAATTAGAGCAAAAACAGAAAGAATATTTAACAAAAATTAAATAGTGAACATTTAACTGGTTTTGCCCCCATCCACTTTTAGAATTTATGACCTAGCACTTTTCCATGGGTTTTCCATTTTCATGTCACTTTATAAATCGATAAAATTGATAAGCATCGAAAAAACAGCTAAGTAATTGCCCCAAATAGATTAGATATGTACATACATACAATTGGGATAGTTACAATAAACTTAATAAATTAATAATACATTTTCGATTAGCAAATAAATAATGAACGTTAATTGCCATTTTGGGGAATTACGTGTTTCGATTTTGTATAATTTATTGACTTGAATATATAAAAACCTTTGAATCTCGAGGCTAGTGAAAATTGAATTCAATATAAGTTGTTCTGCGAACCATTTACCCTAACGAACCTAAAGTAAAAATTGTTCGTCTCGCATCACTGATATTAAGTGCATTTGTGCATTGAGTCACGAAATCAATTATTTCAAAATTTAATAAAACAAACAATTACCATTAGTTGTTTGTATATATGTACATACATATATGTACATATGAACCTTTAGAGGACCGCGATTACTTGCACCGCTTTGTGGTTGGAAAATGCGCTGGGAGTCAATGGACTTTGCGGCGACCGGCTCAATGTTGCATAAACTGGTTGCAAAGGGGCTTTGACGATCAAGTGACAACGAACCCGGCCAAAAACCCGTTTTGTGTTGAGTGTAAAAAGGCTCGACCGAGTTGCGAGTTGGGAAAATGCGTTTGCCAGCCATAAGTCAACGCAAATTTTCTTTCTCCAATTTGGTTATGCAACTGAGCTGAAACGCCCAGTTAATGCCAACCGTATGTGAGAATGCTTCGAACTGACCCAGAAAAGAGAGCTCCACAGTTGGTTGGTTCGTGTTGTTTTAGTCGATTTTGACCTTCTATGACGAAACTGTGAAAACTGCATTCCATCAGGCAATTAAATGTTTGCCTTTGTTTCGGTGAATAATCATGGCAACTAGGTTCTTTGTTCTTGGAGAATCTTGAAATCAAGTTGAGGTAATCACAATAAATTCAAAAATGCAAGGGAAATATTTTAAAGTTATGTTGATAGATAAAACATTGCGGAAGGTCATACATGAGCCGATAAGAGCATACACTTTTTCATAAAATACCTTTAATTATTGTTTTGTTTTTAATAAGACTAAATAGCCTTGCAAATTTTAAGATTTTTTTAGTGATTCTTTTAGATAGAGAAACAGACAAGCTTATTATTTTCAGATAAAAACCTAAAAAACGAAAGAGAGATTTACTTAAGCTTGTAATTGTAAGAAGACTAATGGATTACGAAAGTCACAAATAATATAACCCTTTTAGTGTTAAAGCTAAAACTAACATTCGTTTTCGTATATACTTCATTCGTATTTACTATTTAATTTACCCCTCAAATGACTCAACTTCTTTTGATAAATGACATGTAGTAGGCAATGTCATCTCTACTAATTTTTATCAGATGCACTGATCTTATAAGGCTATCTCATTAAAGTGCTGTTTGCCCTCTTGTGTCATTCGCAACTCCAACAACTTGCAATTAAAAACTTTCCTGTAGACACTGTGTGTTTTGCATTCTTGTTTGAGATCGAGCGGCGTTCCCTTATCAGTTTGCTCTTTGCCTGGAGATATCTACAAAACCACATAAGCAAGGAGGCTTTGATAGGAACCAGATTGACTTGTTGGGGCGTGGATCGCCCTCGTACTCTCAATGCCATTCCCGGTTTGCTTCACTCTTCGTATCGCCCCCCTGAAGTGGCCCCATATTGTTGTCTCAAAGTGCAAAACCATTTTGATTAAATCGGGGCAAAAAAAGAGCAAGCAAGTGCAGAAGCTATAGAAATGTATATAGAAGTGTCCAGACAATTAAGAATTTATAAGGAGTGCTCACAAACAGGTGAGCTAATTCTGCAGTTCTAAAAGGTGACTGGAATATAAACTCGAGACTGATAATGAGGGCGTGTTCTTTTTATTTTTAGATGCTTTTGTCTTGATAAACTCGTATTTTCATTTTATAAAACGCAATTTATCCAAATGGAGTATTTCATAATATTTAATCGCCATACATGTGTAGTAAAGCTCTTTATTTGATTATAGAAATAAACTTTACAACTTTTTAGTCATTCGACTTCCAAGAACCAAGATCTGATAATATAGATAGGAAAACATTCTCTTGGTTACTCAATGCACAATGCCAAACCAAAGTTTTATTTACACTACTTTGTTGTGAAATGCAACCTGTTGCTTAATGTTTATGTTCGACACATCATCAGAAGCTTCACTTTGATTAACAACCGTCTATATACAATTCTATATGCACAGTTCTAGAAATGCCTTCAAATTAGAATTTTGCATGGCGTTGTCAGGTTTCAAACACATTAGCTAAACAGTGCGCATTAGGCGGTGACAGTTTTGCAAATTGTTGACTGGGTTAATTTTATAATGAGTTGTTGGTCTGCATGCAAAATAAATGGTTAGGTGTGATTAAGGAGCGGTGTCCGATTACTCCAGGGAAATTAATTGAATACAAGGAAGAAGCTGATGGAGACACTTTAGAGTACACAGATTGTATCAGGTGACAAATGACGGAACGTTTCTGGGCAAATTGAAATTCCAACTCAAACATTCATTTGCTTAATGAAATATATTAGTTAATTGATCTTTACGTTATGGAAAATACAATTTAATAAAATTTATATTATGGAAAATACAGTAATATAAATACATTTTTTCATCAGAAATTTAATAATCGAATAATTAATAGTAAAATAGTTATTTTCGTACAAAAATAATTTTTATGTTAGTTTGAAGTAGGTAAAAATGTTTTTCATGCCCTATCATTAAATTCATAATGATAGAGCTTTTAAAGCCTTTTGAAGCACTTAAGAACACCTGGTTACCAAACTAATATTTATTCACTGCAAAAGTGACTCTAAAAGTGACCCCCCTTGGAGAGATAAAGCTCGGCAATCTTTATGTTTATGTTTTTCGTGGGCTGTCACGATTATACATATATAAAAAATGAAAGTCCGCACCCCAAAAAAGAATTATCGCTAAAGTGCCGATAAGATTAGGCGACACGTTAAACAGGCATTATATAAGAAAGAGGTATTGGATTGCACTTTGCAACTACGTTTACTTATTTGAAAACTTATTAAAACAAATAATAAAATTCTAATTAAAAAATGTGATTAAAATGTGTGTTTCAGTTTAAAATTAAATTAAATTTTAAACTTTGACCAGATGTTTTGAAGTGCAAAAATAAAAACCAAACTAAATTTCCGGTTTGCTCCAATTTTTAAAGGTTTCGCCGGGAGCGATCACCACTGGCAGTGGAGCCCCAATTGGTATTAAGGATGCCACACAGACGGTGGGTCCCCGAGGTCCCGTGCTCCTGCAGGATGTGAACTTCCTGGACGAGATGTCCCACTTCGACAGGGAGAGGATTCCGGAGCGTGTGGTGCACGCCAAGGGAGCTGGTGCTTTCGGATACTTTGAGGTGACCCACGACATCTCCCAGTATTGTGCCGCCAAGATATTCGACAAGGTGAAGAAGCGCACTCCCCTGGCTGTGCGATTCTCGACCGTGGGTGGTGAGAGTGGGTCGGCTGATACGGCCCGTGATCCTCGAGGATTCGCCATCAAGTTCTACACGGATGATGGCGTCTGGGATTTGGTTGGCAACAACACACCGATCTTCTTCATTCGCGACCCTATCCTGTTCCCCAGCTTCATTCACACGCAGAAGCGCAACCCGCAGACGCATCTGAAGGATCCGGACATGTTCTGGGATTTCCTCACCCTGCGCCCCGAGTCCGCCCACCAGGTGTGCTTCCTGTTCGGCGATCGCGGCACTCCCGACGGCTATTGCCACATGAACGGCTATGGCTCGCACACCTTTAAGTTAATTAACGCCAAGGGCGAGCCCATCTACGCCAAGTTCCATTTCAAGACGGACCAGGGCATCAAGAATCTGGATGTGAAGACCGCCGATCAGTTGGCCAGCACCGATCCGGATTACAGCATTCGCGACCTGTACAACAGGATCAAGACCTGCAAGTTCCCAAGCTGGACGATGTACATCCAGGTTATGACCTACGAGGAGGCCAAGAAGTTCAAGTACAACCCGTTCGATGTTACCAAGGTCTGGCCGCAAAAGGAGTATCCTCTGATTCCCGTTGGAAAGATGGTCCTGGATCGCAATCCCAAGAACTACTTTGCTGAGGTTTGTTGGCATTTTCAATTATTAATTTTACTTATTCGATATAATTATAACAAATGACATTTTTGATATAAAAAGTGTAATTCAATTTAAACTTTTTGGTAACAAATGATTTTCTTATAGATTTACTTTTTAGTTTCATTAATTAAACTATCAATTTTAGGGTTTTTTTAACTTATTGAACTAGTAATATTTATAATTATATTATTTGTATTATTTAACTCATTTCTTGGTATTTATTTTGATTTTAGGTGGAGCAGATTGCCTTCAGCCCGGCTCACATGGTGCCCGGCATCGAGCCCTCCCCGGATAAGATGCTCCAGGGTCGTCTGTTCTCCTACTCGGACACCCACCGTCACCGTTTGGGACCCAACTACTTGCAGATTCCCGTGAACTGCCCCTACAAGGTGAAGGTGGAGAATTTCCAGCGGGATGGAGCCATGAACGTTACGGACAACCAGGATGGTGCCCCGAACTATTTCCCGAACTCCTTCAACGGACCCCAGGAATGCCCCAGAGCCCGGGCATTGTCCTCGTGTTGCCCGGAGTCCGGAGATGTGTACCGCTACAGCAGCGGGGATACGGAGGATAACTTTGGCCAGGTCACTGACTTCTGGGTGCACACCCTGGACAAGTGCGCCAAGAAGCGTCTGGTGCAGAACATCGCCGGTCATCTGAGCAACGCCAGCCAGTTTCTGCAGGAGCGAGCTGTCAAGAACTTTACACTGGTCCATGCCGACTTCGGTCGCATGTTGACTGAAGCTCTTAACCTGGCCAAGTCGTCAAAGTTTTAAACGAGAGGAATTCCCTCAAATCTGACTTGGTTTTTGGCCTTAATTACGATTAATCCACAGCGACACCCATTCCGAAATTGACTAACAAAAGCAAACGCTTTTCGGCTCTTTGGTTGCGGGATAAATATGATTTAACCACAACATAATGTGTCTTGTCTTGTTTTGATATTCAAAATTGTCTTAGCTATACACACAATACAAATACATGCAATGGATATATAATAAATTCTTAATTTTTTGATACAAAGATTGGCATTTTATATTTTAGTTGGTCATCTTGATTGGTTGCACAACATGCAAAAGGTGGTTATATGGAAAGATATGTTTTGTATAGCAAAGCAATTTGTTGCTGTATAAAATATACGTTGAAAACTCAAATTTAATTCTTAATTTATTTTTTTGATAATAAGAAAATCGTGCTAACAAAATGTTAAGTTTTCAATTCGTTTAAATCAGCAACAGGTTTCCTGTGACTGCAAGACCGTAGTGTAGAACATCAAAATAAAACTGTACAAGGCAGTCCATCTCTAGCAGGGCAGCAAATTATCGATATGTACACAGCATATCGGCGCGCTCTTTGAATTCCAATTAAATTGACTAAAATAAACATTTGAGCTTTTTATTTTTATTTGAAAATTTACACATTATCTTTTAATCTTATACTAAGGCTATTTGTGTGCTTTCGTTTCGCAATCAAGTATTGAGTAAATTGTTTATATTAAATTTTTACAAATTGCAAAACATGTTTGAAATATGTACGTTCTCTCAGTCTAGTTTTTAAAAATATTGGCAAGCCAGCGCTGCCATTGAACTTAATTTGTTCACATTTCCGAAATCTTTTTGCTAAATGCAACGATTAAGTAACATTATTTTGTATTTAAATATTTAGCTGAGTTCTCAAACCAGGAGTTAAAAGCCTGATCAAATATTATGTTAACTCTTTCTAACACGTTTTGCTAAACAATAGTTAATGCTTTCGTTTGAAAACATTACGCAATTCAGAAATGCAGGTGTCGTTAAATATAGTTTCACACTTTTCGCTGTCAGCAAAGGCACTTTTCTTGTACAATTCCCTACAATTTTATGATCTTGATTTGTGAATTATTTCACACTAAAGACTAACTAACTAGTGCGTCTTGTTTCCCAGCGCTGCCTCGGCGTATGCTTGCGCCCATGGGGGGAAAGTGTTGAGGTTGGGATAGACGACCAGGCCCCAGGTTTGACAGAAAACATACAGGACGACGATGGTAATGATGGTTGGTCCAATTCCGGCGATAGCCATGTCCTTTGTCCTAATGTTGGCATAGCCCGCAACTAGAGCGTTGGGCGGAGTGCTCACCGGCAGGTGGAAGGCCATGCTGCAGGCCAAGCCGGCGGGCAGGACCAGGTACAGTGGATGAACGCCAATGGCCAGTGACTGAAAGAGAACAATTTTACCAATTTAGTACGAAATTCATATTTCTAATTAGTTTTACTCTCAACAGTATTTACGGAATTGTTTTCAACTCACCATCTCATCCAACACGGGAATAATGATGTTGGCAATGGCCACGTTCGAGCTGAAAGCGGTCAGGATCACAGCCACCAGGATGACTACCAATAGGAGCACAGCGTTGGGCAGGACCTTCAATCCAATCAGGGCGTTACCAATCATCGTGGCCATGCCGCTCTGTTTGCTTCCCTCCGCCAAAGCAAATCCTCCGCCCAGCAGGAACACCAAGCCCCATGGCACTTTGGTCTGGATGAACTTCCAGGTAACCAGAGAGGGAGTGGGACCCGTGGGCACGGGGCCACGGCGCTTTGCGCAATAACGCAGGAAAGCATAATTAGCAGGCAAGACAAAGCACATGATCACGACGAAGATGGTGGGCATAGAGTTGCCAATTTTCCTGAAAATTAAGTATATAAGTTAGTTTTGAAGAAGAAAAGGTTCAGTTTAGAATTATAATCATTATTTATAACGCATTCCGTTACTTGTAAATTAGTTCAAGCTGCTAGTCAAAAGTTCTTCATAACTTAATAACTTGAATATAAATTATTGGCATTTCTTGAAAGTTTTTACGTTTTGTCAACGAAATATGTCGGAAAAATTGGAACTCAAATATCCACTTACTTGGCTTTCAACAAATCGGCCCAGCCCGGAAAGATGCCCGGACTGCGGGTGAAGTACATTATAACCATGAAGATGAACAGAATCATCACTTGAATCTCGTGGACGGAAATGGGGCCCAGTTCCTTGTAGCGCTGATCGATCACCTTCTTGGCCACATCGGCGCCTTCTTTGCCCCGCTGGACTTCCTGAGCCTCCTTGCTCTTGGGACGCCACAGACCCATGAAGTGCCATTGCAGGAACAGGAATGTCAGAAAGGTGTACACCAGCATAGAAGGCACCGAGTAGAACATGAATGTGGGAAAGTCCAAATGCTCTGTGGATTTTTTGAAACGTTCTTCGTAAATACTTTTGAAGGTCAGATTGGTGGCAGTTCCAATGATGGTTCCACAGCCGCCCAACGAGGAGGCGTAGGCAATGCCCAAATAGTAGCACAGAGTGATCTTGGTGGGATATGGTGGCCTAAAATTAATTATTGATTTAGTTATTTGATTAACGGATTATGTTTTTATTGGAAGTCAAGAGGCTACTTACTCATCTTCGTTATTTTTCTTGTTGGCTCCGACAATTTGGTATTGAGGTTCATGGTACATCTTGCAGACGCCCTGTGCCTGAAGCTCCTCCAGCACAGCTTGGATAATTGGGCACATCATTGCTGTGCAGGCGGCATTCGAGATCCACATACTCAAAAACATTGTAACCAAAATCAGGCCAAAGTGTAATCTACAAAAGTACAGCAAACGTGAGAACTATTTCATTCATTCTTATTTCACGAGTATCTATACCTTCTGGGACTGCAGCCCACGATCTGGATTACTCTCAGGGCGAGACGCTTGTGCAGATTAGAATATTCCACAGCAAGGGCAACCATAATACCGCCAATGAACATCACCAGCGTATCTTTGAAGTACAACCGGCAAGTCTCATCGGAGGCCTGTAAAAATGGGTACAAGAAAACAGTGTAAAATATATGACATTTTTTGTATCAATAATAACTTACCATTATACCCATTAAAGGAAATGCCACAATGGGCATCATGGAGGTCACATATAGTGGTAAGGCTTCTGTCACCCAAAACACGGCCATAACCATAAGTAGGTACATACAACGATATTCCTGGAGATGATCAAATAGCATAGTTTAAGATAATATGTATAAATTTGTGAGCAGTTCAAACTTACTGGGCCCTCGTTCAGAATCATAACCGGCAAACATAGCAGCGGTACCAGGAAGACAACCAAACCCTTCCAATGATTGGCCAAGAAGTTGGACAACGTCACAGGGGGTTGGGGTGGATCACCAATTTCACTGTGGATACAAACAAATTTTTAAATTAATATTTTTTGTATCAAGTGCTCCACAGTTTAAAATGGATATGATTGATTAATTTTTTCGTCACCTTTCAATTAAATTGATTCAAATGTTTTATAATTAAACTAATTATCAACCATAAATGTTAAAGAGATCAATATATATTATTAGATATTATTGCAGTCATCCTTAATGAACCCAAATCTATCATCGTTCATGGAATAGTTTAAAATCAATTATGATATTTTATAACGCTTACATTTCCATTTTGATGTCCAGCGGAGGTGGTGTGTAGATCTATAAGAAAAAAGAGTATAAAAAATAAATCAATTATAATTCTCAAGAATCAAGAACGAGCCCCCTTATGTGAAGCCGAACCACTTGTTGCCATGTCGTTGTACCCAAAGTAAAGTGAACCCCGAACCGAACCCAACAACCGATTGTCATCGTTTCACGCTTCATTAAAATGCCATCCATCAATATATATGGTAGCTCAAACGTAACCAATTGAAAATCATTTGAAACGAGCACACCATCGCACCCAAAACAAAATAAATAAATAAAGAAGCATATGGAAATCAGGCGCGTGATATAATTTCTTTTTGCGAAAAAAAAAAATAAAACCAATAGTAAAATGGAAGTGAAATAGAATGGAACGCAGCGAATATGCCTAAGTTGTGCCAGAAAATTTGTCAATGTCTGTTTCTTGGTTGGTGTGGGACTACTATACACCACTACACTTAGTGAATATTTGGTTAGGCGCTTATTCATGACGGCAATTGGCCTGTATTCGATGTCATAAACGTCATTGCTCCAGCTCCCAGTTCTTCTGTCGTTAGGTAATCTATGCATAGGCAAACAAAAATAAAACACATGTGAGTAGAGTAGCCCTCACGTTCTGCACTAGGAGGCACGTCCTAATCATTGATTCCTGCGAAGCCTCTTATCGGCATAAAACTAACAATCAATCAAGCCATTAAGCCGCAGACAAATATAATAACAGAGCGGCACAACACACCCATTCCTTACTTTTTCACCCTTTTGACGACGCCCACACACAATGGGGTGCCTATGTCTTTATGGTTTTGTTGATATATCTAAACGAAAGCACCTACTAATTATAGATCGGTGTAGAGGACCCAGACAGATCCAACTCAGAGCAATGTCAATGTCAATGATATGAGCATACATTTTGTAAACTTTCCTGCGGTTAACCATCAGGGGCAGATACATAGATACACAAAGAGACAGAGCTGTTAAAACGGATCTGTGGCGTGCCGCATGCAACCTCTAAAGAGGTTATTGACTGACAACCCAAAGTGAAATGTCGTCGGGCATTATATTTTATTGCCTGTAAGATATGGAGCCTCAGGTGCCATAGATACAACACATAAATAATGACCAGTTGAACATTTCTTTGGGATAATAACCATAAATATGCAAGTGGTGTAACTGTCAAAGAATTCTATTCTATATTAATCATTTGACAATTTTGGAACCAAAGAGAAACCAATGCGCACTTTTAGAGTTATAACAAACTGTTTCATATATTTACTTTCTATGGAGCATATTTAAGGTATCTTTTATAAAATTATGATTTAAAAATTTTCTAAGTTTCTTTCCAATTAATTGTCAACAAAAATTAAAAAAAAAATCGTTCCTATCTTTGTTTTTGCTTTCATGGTTTACAATCATTTCAAATATTTATCCTAAAAATTAACGACACAGATATGTGAAATAAATATAATTAATTAGCTTATTTAACAAGTTGACGCCGTTTGTGAAGCGTTTTACAGCGCTTATCTCGTGCTTGTTATTTATTTTTTTGCCGATGTTGTTATTTTGATTGTTGTTATTTTGTTTATATATTGTCTACATAGCTTTTGTTGTTGATGAACAGTTCGTGTGCTTCAGTCAGACGTAATTGGAGATCTGCTTTTGTTTATAGGCGACGAACGATGGCATTTAATTTCACACTGCGCGGCACGAGATCGAGAGGTATCGAAATAGACATCCCGCCTCCGACAAGTTCTATATCAAATATCATCAAAGTCTATTATTGTTTTTTACAAATAATGAATAGTTCTTTTTGACCTATAGAGCACAAACTTGGTCCGTTGACTTGCACTTAAAATATTCAAAATCTCAAATATTCTGGAAGCTAATATATTTATTTGTTTATTTTAAGTCAATTCCCCTTTTTAGCAGTATAAAACAAGCTTGAAAGGCAGCCCTCGTGTTAATAAGTATATTTGCAGTGAGCTCACACCCTGAACAAGTCAAAAGTCAGTTATTAATTGAGAAACATTTCCACACGGCAATTAAAAGTATTTTTATTTTAATTCTATCACGAGCATTGTTGGGTTCTCAGACCTCTCAATAACTAACCTCTCCGATGGTGCCTACTATTTGAGAATTCTATCTCCTACAAAACTTGTTGCTGTGTCCCTGATAGCGGGACTGAGATGAAAGATCGCCAAAACAGAGATAGATGGAGGCAAAAATTGATAAAGTGGAACCAATATTGTGGAACATGCTCATGTATACATATATATATACACCTATCTATACAGTGCTTACGATGAGCAAACAATCTATTTGAGAATTGCCCATCTACGTCAGCGGGTGCCCTGAATATCAATCAAACATCGAATATATACACGCGCCTTCTTAGGTATATAAATACTATAAATTATTACATCTTTATACTGCAATCAAAATACTTATATGCCCATCGCTTCGGAGTGGAATTTTTCAGTTCCCTTTGAAGTGACTGATTGGAGTGACAATGATATAGATACGTTGAGCAAAGAAAAGGTTGAGAAGGCTTCATAACTATTATGTAAAGAGATCTTACAGTAAGCAATGACGACTTTTCTTAGTGATCAAAAAAGCAAAAGAGAAAACGTATTCTAAAAATATGCCATACTTGATTGAATCCGGATTAGGTATAATCTGTCAATCTATGTGGTGTCCAATAAACCTCAATTATATATAATAACAATGAAAGAGCACAACTTCTGACAGCTTAAAGCAATAATATGGGGAATCGGCAAATAATAGCTAAGTACAACCCACACAATTTCACGATTAGTTTCGTTTAAGGAGGGAAAATGGGCATTTCCTTAAGATAATTGAACTGCTTGACAGCCAAAACAATCAGAAAACCAAAATCGAATGGAATTGTCTTAGGACCACCATCAACGGTCCAAAGAAATATTTGCCTGCAATTGTCATTGTTGTTTCGCAGTAAATAAATTAATGGCCCGTTTACAAACAATTTTCCAAATGCCTTTTGTTTGGCGCTTGGGGTTCACTCGACAGATTCAAAGATAGAGAACTGCTCTATAATAGAGAATAGATAGAGTGGATGTTGTTGTCTCTGGGCGTTTTCGATAAGTGGAGTAAAGTGTTTACAAGTTAATTGAAATAATGGGTCATGGTGAGAGGCACATTCCAAGTGGACAAGTGTACCCAGCTGGGGTGAAAAAACATTATTTATTAATCCTCAAATGCTCACGTATTTGCGTAAATTAGCGTGTCAATAAAACAGGCTATATATAGTGGACTTAAATATCCAATACGTATATGCACAGTTTTTGCTTGAGTGCACCTCGAAAATATTTTAATGCGGAAGTTAAGTGGCAAATTTATTTTACAAAATTACCATATTCGGATGAGTAACAGGTGATTGTCTTTCCAGGACCGTGGAAAAGAGATAAATAAAATTAACATCAATGAAAACTGCAAACAAATTAACAAACGAATTGTTCTTAAATCAAAGACAACAATAACAATTAATAAAGCTCAATTGTCACTGAAAAAAATAAAGATAAATAAAAAAATTTCATATAAAAATTCAGCAAAAACACTTTTCATTACTTTTAGTGTTGAAAATATTTGTACAAGCTAAGAAAACCAAAACAGCAAAAAGAAAAAAATTGTTTATCTAAAATGTGACTAATTTACTCAGACTATGATTGCGAATTATTTATGCATTGGCAAGCAAATATTCAAATAATTTCCGTCTGCTGTTTTCGTTAGACAAATCATTAGCATTCATTTTTCAATTTTACAGTTTTGCCATACATTTGTCTGTTGATAAGAAAAACCAGTCCATTAAAAAAAATCCAGTTGCCAATTTAGTCGCCATAAAGATATAAACAAAGTTATAAACAAAATGAAGAGAATTGCACTACAACAAAATTGAGGCACTAAAACCGAGACTGAAATATTATAATTTATAAAACATTTCTTAAATGAGTAAGATCATGTTTTTTTAAATTTGTTTCTGATTAAGCAAGCTTTTTTACTTCTCTATAACGCAATTGTTCGAGAATTTTTAATAGGAAAAATAAAAGCCATGCCCAACCATTGATAAGGCATTTCGGTTTCTAGTTCAAGTGCTTGCTATGTTTGTACATTTGTATGAACCGCATATGTATAGGGAAATACACGGTCTGAGATGAGTACTTTAGACTCTAATCAAAAGCGTAGCTGAGCAAACCGATTAACTTAATTCAAAGTTCAGAATCGAATGCTGAAACTAAACAATTTTTATAGGAAACTCTTTAATAAGGGCGTGGCCAAACGCAGTTACCAATCGCCAAAAAGTTTGTTCAATTTTCGTTGATGCAGGACTGTACTTATGCTTTCTCTAAAAGTAGCCCGACGATTAGTCATTAAAATTATTCAAGTGAACAGACAAATCACCTTACGACATTCGCATACATTTAATATGCAAATTGCAGTCTTTTATTCCACTTTTCTTTTTAGTTCATTCACACATGACAAGGCACATGGCAACCAGTGTGTTCTCGAATTTCGGATGAGGTTAAACTGCGGGGTTATCGCTAGAGAACTTCAGAATTGGTCAGCGAAATATGTTTACAAAAAGCTTGTTAATTGTATGCACATTTCATGTTATTTTTATCGCACTTTCCGAATCAATTTGTGGTTTGATCCAACACAAGCGGAAACTGTCGAAACATTTTATAATTATCAATAGGAAGGGGCAGCCAGTCGGATCTTGACTCACTAACACAGCCCAGTTTAATGCACTGAAACATAATTTAATTTAAATTCCGAAAATGATTCTCTGGAAATTCATTCAACTTTTTCACCTTCATGCGGTTCCACTTCCTTAGCAAATGTTCGGCATATTAATTATAAATGACCCTGGTCACCAGAACAACCATATTTTGTATTTGTTTATTCCATTACAAACATGTATTCATTGTAAGCCACCCAAATATGGATTGACAAGCCGTTCGAGCTGTTGTTAAAATAATTGTTCT